GCAGGGAGTCCGATGCGGGGCTCGATCCCAGGACAAACGCTTAACGACGGAGCCACCCAGGTGCCCGACTGAGCCACTCAGGCGCCCATGTTCCAAGAGCTCTTATGCAAACAGAATGTAAGCAAGAAATTTATCTTGAAATCATATGTGATAGTAGAAAACAAGGTCTCATGTTTGAAAGGTTTCCCCAGGGGCTCATGGTTTAGTTTCACAGTCCATGTTTTTTTGGCATTCAATGGCAAAAAAGATGTTATGCTCGTCACTGTAGGCTGTTCTATGACTTTAGGTTGGGAGATTTACACGGTATCTTTGGTACCATGGGAAGCATCCTCCTGCAATTCTGCCTAGGCTTTTCATACAGTGAAAGGTCAGTCCCTAAGGGTATCACTGAGGTTATGATACAGGTCTGAACTTGATCAAATACAACATTGCGAAAACCTTGAGGATTCCTTTTGAGGCTTCTGGCACTAAATCACTCTCCCATTTTCTCCCTTAAGTTCAATATTTTAACTCTGTTCTCTTGAGGAATAAATAGTGGCATGCCTAGTATAGTTTGGCATGTAAAAGTGAATTAAAAGCTTATAGAAAGTGTGTCCCATTGTTTTCTGCATATCTATGCCTTTTTCACTGCTATGCTTTCCATATTTTAAATTACCAGTATTAACAGCTATTTATTGCAAATTTTAATTATGCATGTTTTTACAGCCTATATAATATATGGCCATTTCAAAAGGCTTATGAGTATGGAGTTGCAAAAAATACATACCAAGTTATATTTCTTGATGTTGTTTCCTCTTTTCCCCTTCCAGTACCCCAGCTTTTCTTAGCTTGACAAAATCTTACTTGTCCTCAAGAATCCTCTCTCCTAGGAACCTATTTTATCTCTTCCGTCCTACCGAGTGTGGGTTGTATGACCCTCCCCTGAGTTTCTTGAGCACCCCTTCCACACCTACATTATTTATTCTTTTGTTTATTCACTCACATATCCTTTCCTTAAACATATATTGAATGTTTACAATGCCCTAGAATTTTCTATATTGATGTTACCTGTTTACAATAGTCTTCCCCACTGTTCTATAACCATTTAAAATGCAGAGATCGAGTCTGATTTATCTTCTAATCCCCAGGTACCAAGCCGATTCTAGAGACGGTAGATGCTTTTAATAAATGTTTGTTGTACTGAGTCACTGATAGAAGCTGTGGGTAGTTTTACCAAAGGTAATCTAATTACAAGGGTAAATGAGCCAGTGTACTGTGTATTACAATTAAATCATTTGATCATTATGATTTGTAAATATGTTCAAAATTGTTCTCTACACTTTCTCTGAATGGGAAGCATACTTACTGCATAAAGCTAAAGTGAAAAAATGGTAGCAGCCTAAATGAAAATGCAAAAGAGTTGGAGGTCTCAAACCTGCAGTTCTTGAGGAATCTCCTCCTCAGAATATATTTTGTTTGACTCTTTGATAGGCCCACATAGTGTTTTAGAGGACGTAAAAGTAGGCAGGTGTTATGCTTACATAAGTATACACACAGTTCACCATCCACTGCCTTCCTGACTGCATATGCTAAATCTACGTTCCCTACAGGTGTTTGAGTTTGGGTCCTCTACTCTGTGGTTTACAAAAGGGCTGCCACGAATAAAACCTGCTGCTTTGTCAGCGCATCTGTTCCGTCTTGATGTCAGGACTTGTTTAGGCAACATTGTACTACCCAAAACAGGCTTTTGTGTCAATGTAACAAATCATTTCTCAGTTAATCTCTCTTTGGGATGAAAGATACAGTTCATTGGTAAAATATTTCTTAGCAGTGTTTTTCGTAAGCGCATACAAACACCCAAATGCATATGGAGTGGTTTCCCCTTATCTGCTGTTTCGCTTTCCGTGGTTTCAGTTACCTGCAGTCAACTTCGATCTGGAAGCAGCTGAGTTTCCTCTGCTTCCGTAGTATCAGAAGGTCCGTAGTAGCCTCACATTAAGTCACAGCGCCTGCATCCATCCCCTCGCTTCATCGTATCACGTAGGTATTTTATCATTTCACATCATCATGGGAAGGGTGAGTACAGCACAATCAGATATTTTGAGAGAGAGAGAGACCATATTCACATAACTTTTATTATAGTATATTATTATAATTGCTCGATTTTATTATTTGTGACTATTAATCTCTTAATGAGCCTAATTTATAAACTAAATTTTGTCATAGGTACGTATGTAGAGAGGACAGAGCACAGTACATATTGAGTTCAGTACTGTCTTCAGTTGAAGGCATCCACTGGGGGTCTTGGAATGTCTCCCCTGTGGATAGGAGGGACTACTGTACATGAATGGATATACACATATATGCATGATGCCAGTTCTCAAACCATGATAAATTATAAATTTATCATATAATCTTGTGTCAACTCTAAATCTTCTCTTTATCAGTAGAGGATCTTTTGAATCTCATAAATCAGTTCCTATGAAAATGATAGTTTATTTCAGTTTAAAAGATCAAGTAATATATAGGCACACATAGAAAAGGAAAGGGTCAGGGCGCCTGGGTGGCTTAGTCGGTTAAGCTGCTGACTCTTGATTTTGGTTCAGGTCATGATCTCAGGCTTCTGGGATCCAGCCCTGCACAGGGCTCCCTGCTCAGTGGGGGGTCTGCTTCTCCCTGTGCCCCTCCTCCCACTTGTGCTTTCTCTCTCTCAAATAAAGAAATAAAATCTTAAAAAAAAAAAAAAAAAAGAAAGGGGCAGTCCAGAAGAGATTGCATGAACAAAGATTCAGAAGGGTAAAACGATTTGACCTGTGAGCAACTAGGATGTTGAAAGAGGCTGGACTTGTTGAGATCCTCTTCAAAAGACTCTGAATGGCATAGTAAAGAGTTTGGGTTTGGTCTGTTGCATAGCCCTCTGAGTGTGTGTTTTAAATACTAAAAATAATTTCCATTTTAGAAAGGGAGACAACAGCATTGTGGAGGATAAATTAAAGGTGCGACTGAAGGAGGTAAGTGAAAAGGAATTGCAGTAATACTGGTGAGGAGGGGATTGGCAGTAGATGAAGAGCAAAGAGATGAATTTTGAGAGACTGATCCTTTGTAGAGAAAATGGGAAAGATGTAGATGTAAATTAGCTTTTTTCTAAAGTCGATTAAAAAAATTCAAGAGCTTGGTCCCATCTCCTCCCAAATATTTGCAGATTTTTTTTTAAGATAGTTACACTGGTACTGATATTAGTTACCAGGTTAGTTACAAAACATTTAAATATTTGTATTTCAATTACACATAAAAAGCCAGATGATTCTCCCACCTTAAGAAATGGCATTCCTAAGAGGGTTGCCTTTGGTTAAAATGATGTGAATTGGTTTTATCAACAAATAGCATCTCCTTTGTGTTAGGTACAGTTCTAGGCCTTTGCCACAGAAGTGATTAGGAATTCCCACTATTAATTTCTAATGTGCTTTCTTGGATTGTAAATTAATACTTTAATTTTTATACACTGTAAATAAAGAATACCACTCCAGTGGTATTTGAATGTGAGAGCAGCACCAAACAAAACTAAATAATTCAAAACTGTTTCATCTCACTCTCAAAAGTGATTGTGAATGAACAAGAAAAAGCCCAAAGTCCAAATTATTGAAAGAGCAAATGCCAAAAGCACATGGCCCTCAACATTATGCAGACTGAGTTATTGATATTTTAATTAATCATACCGAGTTTGACTGATTTAAATTTTATCCTATCTTTAGGAAAATTCTTAGAATCTTCTTATGATTATTTAAATAAAACAGTTGTTTTCCAAAGAGTGAGTTATAATAAATAAGTAAGCTAATTCACATTAAGTATTTGGAGAATAATGGTGTGCATGGTCATTATGAACACATAAAAAAAGAACATTAAAATTATTGTAAAATTATTGTGATAATTCAATGCTTCGTTCTAACTGTTCTTTGTTTGGTGACCTTATTAGTTATCTGTGTGGTAGGACATGTGAGCGCATTATTTCATAACCTTCTGAGTACTAAGTTTCAGATTGTTTTTTAATTAGCATTTTAATTGCTCATCAAAGTAATTGAAAACAGAGTCAGAAAATGGAGCATTTGCTAATCCCTTTGGTACCAGTCAATGCTAAGTTTTCTCAAGGTCAAGTGCCTTTCCATAGTACTAATGGAAGCTTGCATTGCTTTGAGCTCCCTGACACATGATATGGCAATTCTGGAGTTGGCATTTTTGAGAGTAAGGGATTTTTCTTCCTTTTTCCTTTCTGAGATTTTAGCTTATTAAGAAAGAAAGCTGAGTGGATCATTCTACAATGAAAAAACAGGAGACAGGGAATATTCCCTGTGGTCAAGATTAGGTCAGATTAGAGTAGACATTTGCTACCTTAGTTGAGATGTGAGCTTGTTGGATCAATGCTGGGCTGTTTGTGAAAAAGAGAGATCTGACATGATTTATGCATTTTTTTTTAAGAAAATACTTAGTGCCTTCTGTGTTACAAACACTAGGCTGGCAACAAGCAAGATACACGTTCTGACTACCAAAGGTAAAGAGCAATAATTTTTGTTATCTTATAGACTACACAGGGAACTGCACCCACTCCCACCAAGTGGAGAATAAACACATGGAAGACACACCTCCAAATGAATCCTAGAAAGTTGAGCCGTGTAGTGCAGTGGCTAAGTGCTTAGACCCTGGCATGAAGTTGAGCAGTGTAGTGCAGTGGCTAAGTGCTT